AAGCAAGGGAGCAAAAAGTGGGTGTCAGGGAAATAAAATGAGGTTGGAGAGGCCCTGAGAGGAGATGGGAAAGGCGGCTGAGGAAGATGGGAGTTCAGGGTTTGGGCAAACTGAAACCTTAAAGGAGGCTTATCATCAGGGGCTATGGAAAAGGAGGGGCTCGCAGAGTTCGAGTAATGTTTTTAAAATTCCATTTTAACAGTTGTAACTATTCGTGCCCTTATGCCCAAATGATTGAGAATAACGGTTAAACCTTCTGACAGAACTCTCAATGTGATTCAATCTGTAAACCAGCACAAAACATAACAGAAATTTGAACTACACTGAATGCAGGTAACATTTAAATATCCGCGATTTTTTTGTGTTGGTTACGCTGAATTTGGGCGAGGTTTGCAGGGAAAACCAGTGGAACCACTCAAATTTTCATGCCTCCTACATTGGGAAGACTGGTGGAGGGGAGGGCCATACCAAACATTTCATTCCTTCCACCAACAGGAACTGTCAGGACTTGTTCAGTTCAACAACACAACACAACATCCAGACTATCACAGAATCACAAAACACAAGCCGTCTCAAAAAATTAGGAAAGGGAAGAAAACAAAAGGGAGATCAAAATGAATTAATGGTCTGAACTTAATTGTTTCTACCAGGAGAAAAGAACTGCTTACATTGTTATTCCTGGACTAAATCAGTTAATGCTTTCTCACAATATTAATAATATCAAATGGAATAAGCCTGATGGAACAAATTGTCAAAAACCTTAATCATCACCCTCAGCGAATGGAGGCTACTCACTTGAATTATAAAACATGCAATTTTCTATGAAATAGGGGCGGCATAGTGGTTAGCCTTGCTGCCTCACCAACACCAGGGACCTGGGCTCGATTCCAGCCTCGAGCAACTGTTTACGTGGAGTTTGCACTTTCTCCCTGTGTCTGCATGGGTTTCCCCCCACAATCCAAGAATGCACTAAATTGCCCATAGTGTCCAGGGATGTGTGGATTAGCCATGGGAAATGCAGGGTTACAGTAGTAGGGTACGGGGCATATCTGGGTGCAATGCTCTTCAGAGTGCTGGTGTGGGCTCGATGGACTGAATGGCCTGCTTTCATACTATAAGGTTTCTATGATTATGACTAGCATTTACTATTAGCAGTTTCTGAAAAAGATTTTAAAGATTTTAAAAAGATTTTTCGTTGCCTCCTAATGTTACATCTAAACCTGATGTAAATAAACCATAGTGAGCCAATCAAAACTCTTGCCGAATAAATTGAGGATCAAAAAAAAGTGTCACATTGTGCATAGCTGTTAAAGAACAAAGCCAACAGGAGCAAAGCAAACCTCTCAACATTTGACTAGAGGAATGTTTTCTAACATCAGTTTCAAATTTATTTTATAGCTTCAATTTGTCTCTTCTGGTTTGATGATCTTGCAGTAATATTCTGTTTTCATATGACCTGCATTATGAACAATTCTACAGGGACAACGTTCTATTGCAGGGGAACTGAAAGCATGATCTTGCACTGTTTCACCCTGAGGCAAAAAATATAAGGAGACTCTAGAATACTGAGAAGATACTTCTGGTTCTGTCAGTCACTCAGATTCTGCCTCATATCGAATCTGCTTCAGTTCACTGTTCCCAGGTTTAGATAAACTGAGTAATGGACTCCACTTGGACAGTTGATTAGAGGGAGCCTATGGATGTAGCTTATTTGGACTTTCAGAAGGCTTCTGACAAAAGTCCCACATAGGAGATTAACGTGCAAAATTAAAACACATAGGATTGGGATTAGTGCATTGAGTTGAATAGAAAATTAGTTAGCAGACCGGAAACAAAGAGTAGAAATATGTGAGATAACAAGGTGTAGAGCTGGATGAACACAGCAGGCCAAGCAGCATCAGAGGAGCAGGAAAGCTGACGTTTTGGGTCGAGACCCTTCTTCCTACTATCTCTGTAGAAATAAATGGGTCCTTTTCTGAATGGCAGGCAGTGATTCATGAGGTAATGCAGGGATTGGTACTGGGACCCCAGCTGTTCACAAAATGTGTTAATGATTTAGATGAGGGAACTAAATATCATATTTTAAAATTTGCATACGACACAAAGTTGGGTGGAAGGGCGAGCTATAAGGCAGATGCAGAGATGGCACAGTGGCTCAGTGGTTAGCACTGCTGCCTCACAGCGCCAGGAACCCGGGTTTGATCCCACCCTCGGGTGACTGTGTGGAGTTTGCACTGTGTGCCTGCATGCATTTCCTCCGGGTGCTCCGGTTTCCTCCCACAGTCCAAAGATGTGCAGGTTAGGCAGACTGGAATGTTAAATTACCCAGAGTGTTCAGGGATGTGTAGGTTAGGTGCGGTAGCTGTGGGAAATGTAGGGTTACGGGGATAGGGTAGGAAAAGGGGTCCAGGTGGGATGCTCTTCGGAGGATCAGTGTGGCCTTGTTGGGCCGAATAGACTATTTCCACACAGTAGGGATTGTATAAAAATGCTACAGTGTGATTTGGACAGGCTGAATGAGCGTGCAAATGCCTGGCAGATGCAGTATAATGTGGATAAATGTGAGGTTAGCCACTTTGGTAGTAGAAGTAGGAACGCAGATTACAATTCGAATGGCTGTAAATTGAGAGAGGGGAATGTTCAATGAGAACTGTGTATCCTCGTACACCAGTCGCTGAAGGTAAGTGCGCAGGTGCAGAAGACAATAAACAAGGCAAACTGTATGCTGGCCTTCATAGCGAAAGGATTCAGGAACAGGAATAAGGATACCTTACTGCAATTATATGGAGCATTAGTGAAGCCACACTGGAATATTCTCTGCAGTTTTGGTCTCCTTATCTGAGGAAGGATGTTCTTGCTATAGAGGGAGAGCAGTGATGGTTTACCAAATTGATTCCTGGGATGGCAGGACTGATGTATGAGGAGAGGTCAAGTTAGTTAGGATTATATTCACTGGAGTTTAGAAGAATGCTAGGGGATCTGATAGAAACCTATAGAATTCCAACAGGTTAGATGCAGGAAGGATGTTCCCAATGGTGAAGTAGTCCAGACCAGGATCATAGTTTATGGATTTGGGGTAAACCTTTTAGGACTGAGATTAGGAGAAATTTCTTCACCTGGAGAGTGGTGAACCTGTGGAATTTGGTTCCACAGGAAGTGGGAGAGGGCCAGATTAGGGTACTGAGCTTGATGATCAGCCATGAGCATATTGAACGGGGTTGGATAGACAACTCCTGCTCCTACCTGCTATGTTTCTACAATTTGTTTAGATGCACGACCAGCTCTGGAACTAATGTTTTCAGCACCACAGCTGGGATTGTGTTGGAGGTAACATTCCCTCTTAGTTGCCTGCCACACAGTGACCTGAATGTTCCCATGTGGATCCTACAAAACTGACTCCTGTAAGTTACCATGTTTTCTGCTGTCACAGAAATAATGTTACAAGCCACCCATCAATTTAAACAAATTAGCGCCACACTGTAAAAAAAAAAGCAGGGAACTCAGTCAGGGGCCCAGAGCCTTTGCTGTATCCAAATGCACTGAGTCATGCCTTGATACCATGTGGAATGAACTCAATTGCTGAAGACTGGAAGCTTTCATAGTTGGTCCTTAGGAGAATGGAGAGGTGGATTGGCTGAGGGGAGTTGCAAACACTTCAGCTTGTCCTTTGCACTCATGTGCTGAGCATCATCGAGGATAGGCATGTTCAAGGAGCATTTCCATCATATGAATTGTTTAATTGTCCACCACAAGTTAATGACCAGGTGAGATGGAACTGCAGATCCTTGACCCGACCAGCAAATACTCCTGTGTTACGGCCTTACCGCACTGGCAGCTCAATTTTAGGACTGCCTGGTGCTTATGATCTCTTATACTCCTCATTGAACCAGGGTGGTCCTCTGGTAATGGTAGATTGAGGGATATGCTAAGCTGTGTACTTACAAATTATGGTTAAGTACAATCTCCTGCTGCAAATGGTCCACCGTCCCTTATGGATCCCCAATTTTGAGCCTGCTAGTTGCTTTGAATCAAAGTTATTTAGCATTATGGCAGTGCCACACAATAGAATGGAGGATTGTACTCAGTGTGAAAATAGGATTTCATCTCAAGGTTGCATTGAAGATGATGTAGATAAGCACATGGGGAGAAGGAATGTTAAGTTATGTTGCTGGGCTTAGGTGAAGAACACGGGGAAGAGGTCCTTGTAGAGCATGAATATTGATGTAGCCTGTTTTTGGTCTGTACACTCAAAGTCAAATTTAAATATTTCTGTACATTGAACTTCATTCAAGGAAAATCCAAGCCTCTCACTTTAGATGCACAGAGCCCAGCTTATCATATTGACCATCTCACAGGAGCAATCTATACACGTGACAGAAAAGTGACAGGGCAGATTCAGAGTTAACAGAGAATCCAATTTAAAACTGGATGCTAGTGGGCATTTGTTTCAGTTCAACATGTTCAGTCAAGAAAATCCAATGTCAGCTTTCATTTTAAACATATTGTTCAGGAAGCGCATCAGAACTGAAAAAGCTGACCTTGCTAAACACTCTTCTAATGCCCCTCAGATTCATATCAAACTGAATATCTCAAAATTATAATTTCCCAAGCATTTTAGCTGAAACCCAGCTGTATAAAACCAAATGCAACAGAGAAAACATAATATTGACACAGGAAATCTGAAGAGCCCACAATTAAATGGAGACAATTTAAACATTTAAATTAATAGCACATGTAGCATGGAAAGCATTTATTAGAAACATGGGAATTGTCATTACATCCAGAACTCTCAAAACAGTGAGCGTGCAAGTCTTACAAAGTCATGCAAGAAAAGCTGCTGTTAATTGGACTCAAGCCTCCTGTTTGATTGCACTATGTTAGCAGAGTGACACTCTGTTCACATTTAGTTTCCTACCCTCCTGGGACTGGGGAATTAAACAATCCAGAAATCATAGTTCTAAACAGAGAGAATAAGGTATGTATGTTGACAATGAAATTACCTTATCTAGGATGTATTTATTGAGATATGGCATATAACCCTGGCTGGAGACAGGTCCGTCATCGTCATCTCTGAAATGCTCTTCAAGTGCCACGGGGTCATGTGGGATGTGCAACACTGTACAAAGATTATGCGACAAGACCTAGAGAACAGTAACAAATACAAGGTTACTCACTTCCTTTGAGAGTCTCAAGCTGCCAGTCAATTAGTCTCAAGTTCTGTATCCATTTCCTTACAAGTGCTGCTAGACAGCCAACTGTGAAATGCTTCTTTACACGATTATAAACAAGCAATATGTAATTCTCTTCCAATATCCATTCTAATTGTACCAAATTGTTAAACTAGAAACAGCTTATGCAGTGATGAGCAGGGTATCAAACAGGTCCTTTAAAATTTGCACTATTTCAGTTGAGGTTCTCTTTACCATGAGTAATTTCTTTAATCCCTTTTTACAAGCCATCACTGAATCTGCTTGCACTGCACCCTCTAGCAGTGCATGTCAGATTCTAAGCATTTGCTGCTTAAAAATATTTTTCCTGATATTGCTGTCAGTTCTTTTGCAAACCACGTTAAACTTGTCCTCTCTGGTTCTTACTCCTTCCGTTCATGGGAACGATTTCTCTCTATCTATTCTGTCTAGATCCCTCACAGTTTTGAGCAATTCTGTCAAACCTTCTCCCACCCTTCTATAAGGAAAAGATGAGTTTCTCTGAAACATAAGCAAAATACTTTGGAGGCTGGATATCTGAAATTAAAATGCTCAGTGGATCAGAGAGCATCTGTGAAGAGTGAAACAGGTTAATGTTTCAGGTCAGATGAAAGGTCACAAAGCTGGAATATTGATTTTATATAAAGGTGTAAGAATTTTAAAGGCTTAATGCCGAGGAGTGATTTTACATTTGTTCATAGGAGATGGAGGTCACTGGCCAGGCTAGTATTTATTGCCCAGCCCTAACTGCCCAGAGGGCAGATAAGAGTCATTTACATTGCTGTGGGTCTGGAGTCACATGCAGGCCAGACAAGATAAGGACAGCAGATTTCCTTCTTTAAAGCACCATCGACTGTCATGATGCTTTATGTTTAACAAACTGATATGGATACGTTCAATTGGGCAGCAAAAACTAACAGAGGTTTCCAAGTGGTTTATTATAAATCGATTGTTTAGCACAAACACCAGTTTCCAGCTTTCCCCTTTAGATCCTGTCCCTGTCCATAAGACTACATGCACATAGGGAAGAACCCAGCTTTTTTATTTTATTTTGAAAAGCCCACCAACAAATCACCCAATTAAATAATTAAACAAATAGAAAAAAAAACTACAAGCCCTGCCCATCGGGACTATGTAACAATAACAAAAACAAAAATCAAGGGTAGGGGCTGAGAAGGGGCCAAATCAAACCACAGTTGCTAGGGGAAGCAATGAAGCCCAGCTTCTGTGGTGCCCACCTCCCTCTTAAGGCCTCAAGAGTAGGAACCCAGCTTTCTTAAAAATATTATTTCTCTTTATAAATTTTTTCACCCAATTAGCTAATTAAACAAATAAATTACAAGCAGAAGTGAAAATTGCTGGCAAAACTCAGCAGTTCTGGCCGCAGTGGCTCAGTAGTTAGCACTGCTGCCTCACAGCGCCAGGACCTGGGTTCAATTCCACCCTTGGGAATGTTTACGTGGAGTACGCATGTTCTCCCCATTCTGTGTGGATTTCCTCTGGGTGCTCCGGTTTCCTCCCACAGTCCAAAGATGTGCAGGTTAGATGGAGTGGCCATGCTTAATTACCCATAGTGCCCAAGGATTTGTAGGCGGTAGATGCATTAGCCATGGGAAATGCTGGGATGGAGTGTGGAGTGGGTACTGGTGGGATGTGATTTGGATGGGTCGGTGTGGACACAATAGGCCGAACGGCCTGCGTCCACACTGTAGGGATTCTGTGCTGCCAGAACAAAGCAAAGTTAATGCTTTGAGCCCAGTGACTCTTCATCAGAACTGTTAGCAGCTGACGAAGGCAGTGGGGAATAAGTACTGACGGAGCCGAGAGCGAGAGAGCGAGAGATATGAAAGGAGATAGTGGATAGCAGGTCAGAACAGAAGATAAGTTGAATTATGTGATAAGAAGAGCGAAGAGTAGGAGAAAATAGGTGAGCTGTACTGATGTAATGCAACACACATAATGAGATAATGGGCCGAGGAGTACATGAGAATGTGAGAATGTGCTAAAAACAACCAGGGTCACAACAGGACTGGGTGTGGGGTAGGTAAAAAACATTGAAGGATTGATTCAGACTCTAAAGTTATTGAACTTGATGTTGAATCCTAGAGGTTGCTGGGTGCCCAAGTGGAAAATGAGCTGCTTCCAGCTTGCACTGAGACTCACTGGAATACTGCAGCAAGCCCAAGACAGAAAATTTGGTATGGGAACACGGTGGTGTGGTGTGGTAGGCAACTGGAAGCTCCAGGTCATTTTTACAGAGAGAATGTAGGAGTTCTGCAAAGCGGTTGCCGAGCTTGTGTTTTGTCTCCCCAGCATAGAGCAGTCCACATTGTGAACAGTGAATACAGTGGATTAGATTGAGTGAAGTGCAGGTAAATCACTGCTTCACCTGGAAGGTGTGTCTGGGACCTTGGATGGTGAGGAGGGAGGAAGTAAACGAACAATTGTTACACCTTCTGCGATTACATGGGAAGGTGCCGTGGGAGTGAGAGGAGATGCTGGGAACGAAGGAAGAGTGGACCAGTTTGTCCCAGAGGAAATGGCCCCTGCGGAATGCTGAAAAGGGAGGGAGGGGAATGTGTGTCTGGTGCAGGCATTGCACTGGAAGTGGCAGAAATGATGGCTTACAATCCTATGGTTGTGGAGGCTGGTGGGGTAGTATGCAAGAAACACAGGGAACCTATCATTGCTGAGACAGGGAAGGGAAAGGGTGTGGGAAGAAGTTTGAAAGATGGTTTCAACACAGCTAAAGGGCCCTGTCAACCACAGTAATGGGAATTCCTCGGTTGAAGAAGAAGGTGGACATTTCTGAGGGCCCTCTGCAGAAGCTGGCATGTTCAGAACAGAGGAAGGGCCACTGAACCTGAAGCATTAACTCCAATTTCTCTCCACAGATGCTGCCAGGCCTACTAAGCCTTTCCAGCAATTTCTATTTTTGTATCATCAGAATAGATGCAACAGAGATGGAGAAACTGGGAGAATGGGATGGAGTCCTTACAAGAAGCAGGGTGATAGGGTGTATTTTCCAGGTAACTGCGGGAGTCGGTGGGTTTGTGATGGATATTAGTGGCCAGCCTATCCCCAGAAATGGAAACAGGAATGGGAAGAGAGGAGTCAGAGATGGACCAGGTGAAGGGGAGAGTGGGATGAAAATTGGAAATGAGATTGATCAATTTTTCCAATGCCAGATGAGAGGGTGAAGCAGCACTGATAATGTCTTTGATGTACCAGAGGAAAAGTTGTGGGTAGGGGCTGGAATTGGGCATGAAACAAGGGATGTTCCACGTACTGCACAAAAAGACATACAGAACTGGAGCCCATGGGTACCAACGGCAATCCTTTTGACCTAAAGAAAGTGAAAGGAGTTAAAAGAGAAGTTGTTGGAAGTGAGGACGAGCTCAGTCAGACAGAGGATGGTGGTGGTAGATGGGGATGGTTCAGGCCTTTTTTCCAGGAAGAAGCGGACAGCCCTGAGACCATGCTGTTGGAGGATGGACATGTAGAGAGACTACACGTCCATGGTAAAGAGGAGGCAGGTGGAGCCTGCAAACAGGAAATTCTGAAACTGACATAATGCATCAGAAGAATCGCGGATGTAAGTGGGAAGGCCTGGACAAGGGGAGTTTAAAAAAAAATCAAGCAGCGGTAAATAACGGGTCTGCCCATGCAGACCTGGTTGTGGATTTTGGGAAGGAGGTAGAAACAGGCTATACGGCTTAGGAGCTAGGAGGCTGTCACAGGGGAGATCCCTGGATGAGATGAGTTTAGTGACAATCGTAGCTGGATGCTCGATGGTGGGGTCATGGTCCAGGTGGAGATAGGAGCAGGTTAGAAGTACTGCAATGAGAAACCAGTTGTCTCGATATTTTTAAATCAATAATCTGGATGTGCCAAGTCTCCTGACTCAAAGGTAGGGACCCTAAAAGTACAGTTACCATAATCCTACCAGAAGATAAACTCCTCTCTCGTGAGTGAGTGAGTATGTGAGAGAGAGCACGAGCGAGAAAGGAAGAGAGCAACTTTGGCGCAGAAATTGAACCCATGTTGTTGGCATCACTCTGCATCGCAAACTAACTGTCCAACTAACTGAGCACTACCGAGCCATAATAGCCCTTGAGAAACCAGCTGTTTTTTTTGGATACCCACCACCAAATCACTTATTTCAGCCAGTAAGAAAACAGTTAACAAGCATGAGCCATGAGAGTGCAGCTGTTAAATACAAAGTCAAATAGCCATCACCTGCTCTCTATCTACTCTGGAGCTGGTCTGGTTGACCTTGGGAAGCTGACTTCATGCAGATTGGGTGAGAGAACTGATAAGGACCTCAAAGGATTCAGACTTCCATCCAGGTTCTCCAGGTCTTTGAAACAGTCCTATAAGTTATAGTTAATTGCCACAGAAGCGTTTCTCCATTAGACCACCAAGTAGGTTAGCCTCTGCACACCGGACTAAACAGACCCCGTATTTTCCTGTCATTAAAGAGGATGATGGCAGTAAATCTACGAGAGAGCTCAGACAACATGGTGAGAAGTGGTGTGGATTCACCCAACGGCAGCTAACTACGTCTCTTCTCTCTCCACACATCTTGCTAGACTTGCTGCGTATTTCCTGCATTTTCTGTTTTGTTACCAGTTTCTCACTTTCCAAGAAACAGAACTCCCTTAGCACTGGAACCATTCTTGTTATTCCTACTGACACCCTTCTCGAAAGCCTTCACATCAATCCTAAAAGGTGGTAGCCAAATTTAGACACAATACTCCAATTGATTCATTGTAACCTCTGCTCCTGTACTCTCGACCTCTCTTTCTAGCAAGTCCTGGATCTTGATTTTTTTTTTAGCCACTTTCTCAACTTGCCCTCTCACCTTCAGTAATTTGCCCACACAAACCTTCAGATGCCTTTGTCCCTGTACTCCCTAAAGAACATGAATATTA